ATAGACGAATATCTGAGGTTGAATGTTTAATCTGCCGCAATTTTACATATAATAGACATTTTAGGCATATAAGATCTCGGACTATTATTATCTATATTCATCTGAGGCTAAGGAATTAACACCTAAGTTACTTCGTGTTAAAATCGATTATGGAATCCATTCTGGTCTACATTAATCTAGATGCCAAGGCTACTGGGTGACTACACTATTAACCTACCAATGTGACGTCATTCCAGTTCCTTGCATCGACGGGGTTATATTATACGGTATCGGCGAGACGTTTGTCAACTGTCACGCAATGCTGATTCCTGATTTCCTTGGAGGCATGGTGGAGCGCTGAGTATAATTATCTTGAGTAATAATAGTGGATGGCTAATGCTTAATTAAGAATGGAGTTTGATTGCCTGGAATGGCATTTATATTTACATTAATATGGAAGTCTATTGGTCGGGTTGGGAAAACGGCTTCAAGTAGGTTGACGCAACGCTGTCATCAGTTCATACATTGCTCAAATAGACTTATACAATTAGTTTCCATTCCACAGGTCTCCTGCTGCCTCCTAAAATTTGCATATTTGGTTTGGGTATATTGAATATTTTTAATATCTGACCCCATCACGTACAAGAAGTTTCCTCTTGCTAATCTCTAGTCGGTCAGTCTGAGAAAAATTCCTGTGAGCGCCCATGTCCAATGCCACAGTGCTAGTGATCGGCGCCGCAGCAACCTTTCTTTTCCCCTCTTTTCTCCTCTTTCTTCTGTTCTTCCTTCTTTTTGTCTTCTACCTTCTACTCAATAAAAAAATCTCTCGTGGCTGGGCTTAGGAAGATTTTGAAGAAAGAAATGTAATTCTACCAGGCAAGAGCCAAGGTCCGCTTCAATACGAAATGACGAGGCTTCAGAAACTGTGCGAACAAGTAATTTCCTTCTGATACTGATTTTGACAGTCACCGACAAGCTATCGATTTCTGTACCACCAAACTAATAGTATTGAATAAATTTCCCAATACGTAGGCTATGAGAGCCAGCCTGATAGAAAAACTGTGGCGCTCCATATCTGAAATATGTATATTTAGCATAATATCCTACTGCGGCCTGTGGCCGCTTTGATGATCAGTGAAGCGATTCTTCATCACTTGTGAGCTTTGTGTTGTTTGACTGGCGGCGTGGAAAACTGTCAGCGTTGCTTGCGACGCTTTTAGTGAAGGCGGCATAGCGTCGTTTGTTTCACATTCAGCTGTAAAAAGGTCGGAAGAGTCGACGATCGACCTAGTATCGGACCATAGGGCTTCGTCTAGGTCAAGATATATTGATTCGTTTATACGTCAATAAGATACAGGTACAGGTTTGAAAACATATTCCCGTTTCCAAATCACTATCTCTATCAGCAAGTTGATACACTGATCGTTTTGGTTGATTTTAATTTCTGGAAATGAGTATTTGGAAGTAGCATTGATTAATCATAGAAGTATAGGATATAGAAAATATAAGACGATGGCAGATGGATAAACATGAGAAAACAGTATCCTACAAGAGTTCGAAGTACTACCTTGTACCTTTTCACTTTCATTACGAGGGAAGTACACAAACAACTTAACAAGTGCTTCAATGTCAGGATAATTCCAAAGCCACTTACTAGGTGACGTAACGACAGGGGAGTTGTCCTTCTTTGGTTAGAGATAGGGTCAATAGAACTGAGTTGTCGGGATCAAGCCTATTTTTGGGAAAAACATTTTGAGTACATTCCATATTCGACCGACTCATCGCATTCATTATGTTAATTAGCTGTCTTGATACTGATCATAAAACAATACAAGAATGGTCATGATATTTCTCAATTATATTATCCGAAATTACAACACATTACACGGTAGCATCCTACCGCATGAAAGTCACACCCGTGTCCATAACCAGGGAAGCGGTAGCTTCTTACCGCGTGGACGTCACGCCTGATATGTAAATATCTTGCACGAGGGAATGGTAGCTACCTTCCGCATGGAAGTTACGCCCGATGTGCCAAATTTGTTGATTATTACGAAACCAGGATATCGCGATGCGGTGTCAATACCCAAAATCTCAGACCTTACCTCTGATTCAGAGAGCAACATGACAAATTTTAAGTAACAATCCTTATACATATGGTTTTACTGACACTGCAGTCAATTTGATAAGCTGCTATTTGTCAAATAGAGATCAAAAGGTCCTAACAGCTTCGAAAATGTCACAGTCAACTGCTATAAAGTTTGGTGTTCCTCAAGGTTCCATATTGGGACCTTTACTTTTCTCTTTATATATATATATATATCGGATTTTCATCAATATGTCCATAATTGCACAATCCATCACTATGCCGATGATACTCAAATTTATTTTACTTTTCAACAAAAAGATTTTAAAGTAGCAGAAGCATTGTTCAACGAAGACTTAACAAGGCTAGTAGACGTCTCGTGTTCGCATAACCTAAAAATTAATCCATCCAAATCTTCAGTTATGGTTTTCGGCTCAAAAAACAAAAGAACATTGATCGAAACGGAAATTAACCTTAAAATCTATGATTGCCGGCTTCCTATAATGAATGAGTGAAAAAACCTGGGACTCTGGACTGACACAGAACTAAAACAGAAAAAACACGTAAATTCGTTAACTGCATTTTGAAGCAGTTTTATCCACATAGGCAAATAATATTTACTTCCGTAAAGCTGAAACTGTGTGAAACATTAATTATATCAAAGATATTGTGACAGTATAAATGGCCCCGCTCTATTATATAGTGAATACAGCAAATTACAGCGTATTCAGAATTCGTGCGTCAGATCTTCTTGCGGAATACGAAAGTATGATCATATTTCTTATAAATTTAAGGAACTTGGTATTCTGCAGATTAAAGGCATGCAAAAACTTCACTTATTGAGACTCAGACATAAGGTCTTAGCTACCAAACAACCACAAAATTTGCATAATAAGTTAACACGATGTAGTGACATAAATCAACTGAATACAAGGAATAGAAAAATGTTACATTCTAAGGCTGTCTACAAAAAATCATTCAGCTACATCGCTGTTAAATTATATAATGATCTGTCTGTAACACTCCAAAACTATGCATTATTTAATTTTAAAAAGAGGCTTAAACTACAACTACAAGTCGAGGTCTGATGATGAATACAAAATGCTAGAAATATGGACTATTTTGTAATTGTTCTGTTTTTTTATGTGTTGTTAATTATTTAGTAATTATTGAGAATTATGGATACATTTTTATTGGTGGAATGTTTTATTATATATTTTTTTGTTCTTTCAAAAGTTAAAAAACGCTAATCTTAGCGACACTTCGCCTTTTTGTACTTTTACTTAGGTACGAAATAAAGCCCATTTATTATTATTATTATCTCCTGCCATGAGATACTTTCTGACTCCAGCGATTGCCACGATAGGAAGCTAGGCGGTCACACAGACCTAGGATATCGCGTCGGCCAATGATCATTGTGTCAATATCTAAAATGCTCGGACATTTCTCCTGACAGAGGAAACCGATCAGTAATTACCGTCTCTGGCAAAACCCAGCTCTGTAAGTTTCATAACAGCATCCTGTATCTGGAAGCGTCATACCTGTGTAGATGTTTGACTCTAAGTTCTGTCTAACTTTTTGATTTGGACAATTGAAGACACAAGTGGATAAAGGTGCCATTTTTTTATCACTTTTTTGCATTAAACTAACCTTAAGGAGCGATTATTTCATTCTGTCATTATTTTGTTGCAAAAACAATATAATAATGAACTAATTAAACTAAACATTTAAAATGTCAATAAAGTAAAAAGTTCCAATAAAAAATATCTAAGGCCAATTTTCTCCATTAAATTATTTTGTTACATGACATCTTCATCCACTTGTGTCTTTAATTATTATCGTGATTAATATCGTCGATTATAAGGGTACCATGGTTAGGAAATTCACATGACATGCAGTACAGCAAAAAGATCAAAGATATTCTGTGAAAACGATCACCGTTTGATTGATCGAACCTTGACCTGAACTTGATATCGGAACTACTCACAAAGTCACTTCACACATACCCTTCGACCTATCAATGTTGGAACAATACTCAGCGTGTCCTTGTTTTCACGAATACGCGTGAAATTTACAAGGGTCGTTTCTAAAATATTGTGTGTGCTTACAGAAGTTATTGGACCTGTTATAGGCTAAGCTGCTGATTTCAAGATTTTTTAGTTGGAGTCCAAACTTCGGACCCAAACACCTTAAAACCCAATCAAGAATATAAAAAAAATATTTTACTGTAGACACTGGATAATGTTCAGTGATTTTCAGCCACAATAAAATGTTACAATTTCAGTAACACCGTCATTAAATATCCAAGGATCTATAATACGTTTGCGTGTCACACCTTGTTTTAAATTCCGTATCACTTCTCATTAAAATCAATTGAAATTGTGTAGATCTAACAACCTCCGATAGAATTATATTCTCATTTCGACATTTTATATAACCTCAATTACGTTTACGAAGTAGTCAGTTTTATACTTCCTCCACATAAAAGATAGATAATGGCGCTTCAAGCGGCCACTGAATATATTGCTAGTACACTCTGATTTCCATTATTTGCTGGGGGCGAAATACATAGTTGGGGAAACTGAATCGATTGCCACGCATGTTTTGCAGTAATCCTTTGTCAGATATTTGTTAGAATGAAATTCAAATTCATTCTTATATTGCACATATCAAACACGCATATTTTAGTTCGACGTATATCAACGTATTCACCAAGATCGCATATTTTAGTTCGACGCATATGAACGTATTCACCAAGATTGAAGTTTATTTTTCTATTACACGTGTGAATCACACATATTTTTGTCTGATATCAGCTGGGTGACGAATAGCATAGTTCCGCTGCACACATTATTATCCTGTTCGAAGCCCTCCCTAAACAACAATGCTGAACAGCTAAATATGAAAATAACGACTATAGGTCCTTGTTCCTGACCTGTTTTGGTTCACCGATTGGTTCGCACGGATTGAACTCAGTCATATCTTGTTTAACCATCTATCTACAATCTCAATGATTTTAGTTGTCACAATCTGCAATCACGATTTACAAACTTTACAATATGTACTCCTTTTGTTGCGCCATTATCAAGCCGAGTCGTCTTCAGCATGAAACCGCTGTTTATAGGAAATAGAGTTCTCCAAGTCTAGACTGCGATAACAATAACTAACGATTCCTTTTCCTTTTGCAGCCATTGTTCTCTCTTCAGACTACGAATTTTCGATAATCTCACGTCAGATCCAGATTCGGTTTCGGTACTCCCGCAGACCGTGAGATAATCTGATGATTGTAAAAAGCGAGCCTACGAGCTCAGCTATTATCTATTTTTGCATAATGCTAATTATTGCTTCTCACAAGAGAATCGTATACACAGTCGGCGGGTTTGAAACTGCTTACTTCCGTTCCACGATTTTTTTTCTTTGGTGAATAATTGCGGAAAGCCGGGGCAGCCTGTGAAGTTTTATTGCAGGTAATGTGACTATTGGGTCTTACAAGAAAAACTGCGAAGTTGAAATGAACGAAGAATGTCCTGTGTGGCGTTTTAATTCTCATCAAGTCTTAGTTCTTTTCATCTGAATACATTTTATGGAGAGAAAAGTGAAAAAATTAGTAGAGTTTTTCGCTATATAGGTATGTTGAACCAGTTTCTCAAAAATTTAATCTGATTGACTCAACATATAATTTTGGTACAACCTTCCATAAAGTTCAGTTTCAAAAAAAAAATAGGCAGATTCACAACTTGACCAGGTATGAATATACCTAACCACAACATGAAGCACTATGTATCGTGAACCTCTGCAACTAAAATTGATTGATTAAGGAATATATGGAACATACGAATGACTACTTTGCCTAACAGGTGCATACCATTAGGTGGTATTACCAGGAGGTCAACGTATTTCACTGATATCGAAGATGCAACCCCCAACCCCTAATTTTCAACCTGTCTAAAGAAAATACTGAAAGTGAGGAGGAGTCCATGAAACGTCAGAAAATGGTATTTTGGAACTTTTTGTTCTTTTATGTTTTTTTTCAAAACTCACATAGCAATAGTCTTGTTTAAAAAAAAATCATAATACGCAGATTTCCGCCATTGGAATTTTTCCTCGCCCTTTGGCGCAGGAAGTAAAAACTGATACGATAAAATATCTTCATTCATGTGCAGTATGTGAAGAATTCAAAATATATGAGAATACGTCGGAAATATGGAAAGAGGTAAACATCATTATCTTCCTTGTGCAACCTGATTCGCTTGGAGTTGAGTATGAATCAGCCGATAAAAGCTCTCACTTGAATGCTGCTAGAATACCAGAGGTTCTGCATGGCGATATGCATTCTATGGCATACGGGCATGAGAATTATTATAGGTACAGAGCTGATATACTGAAGTTTATCTTTCATAAATATTACAAAGTTAACTGTAAAGTATAGAGAAATTAAAACCAAGTAAGTTGCGCAACTGTTTTATCACAAAATTAAGTACAAATGTTTACTGTAAAGCTCTTTTGATGAAACGACCTTAGCATAATAAAAAAAACTCGAATATGCTAGAGCAGTGTCACCATTTTCCAAAATATGCTAGACCACAACATGGATTCAAAGGTATTTCCATATCTGATCATATTGTATATATTTCGAAGACTGTCGGTTCCTTTAATACACATTATAAAAATTACTTAATAGTAACCGAAAAATTATGTGTTTTGTCACTGAAAAAAAATGTTGAAAATCATTCATATTCATATAATTACAAAAAATAGAGAAGTATGGCTTACAGACTCAAAGCATTTACTATCAGATGTCTTTACAGAAAATTATCTCAGTATTTTATACAATGTCTTGAATCTTGAAATACATATAATGCCAGCCTGAAGCGCGGCCTGTAAAAGAAATAGATGTAACACAAAGATCTGTTTAAAATTCAACCTCGCATAATCTATATGCTTCAAATGACTTGCACCATGAGACCAATATATTACATAGTCGGCAACTTTCCATAGTACTTGCTTGTGCCACAAAACTTCTAAGAGTAAATATAGACACTATCAGAATACTATAAAAAGAATATTTTCGTCAAACCTTTACAGACTTCATAAAGAGTTATTAAGAAATCATTTTTGGTGAAGAAAAATGAAACACTGGATGGGATCTTAACTGTTGAACGAAAGGCTATTCTTAATTATATTTAAACATTATAGTGAACGCTGATTTTATCTTTTGAACTAATGCACTTATACATATTTATGATTATGATGTATGGCTGCTAGGTTTATATGTCATGTGCCAATCTTATATTAGTTACTGCTGTAACTAAGTCAGTCAAATTTGGCAAAGGTGAAAAAAATATCCCGTTGATTGCATTCTTTTCACAATAACTTATTTGTAATCCTCACTGCTCGTTCATAATTGAAGACAGCTCTCGGATCATCAAATGCCATTCGAGATATATGCGAAGAGCACCCTTATCCAATATTCATTCCTTCGCTCTGTAAATCAAGACTGCTTTGAAATTGAACGAACACAATATGACACCTTCGAGTTAATTATGCATAATGTCTGTATTATTGAAATGGCTGGATCGTTTAGGACTGCTTGTTTTCCATACACTATTGATACGGCTACTTACAATACTTCCTATTGATTTGATTATGCATACAAATATATGCTTTTTTCACTTCTCTGGCGAGGATCTATTGTAATCGCGAAAAAATCGAAAATGAGATATTATTTTTTTGTACATTTTCCCTTAAAACAGCATGATAGAAAAATGCTTCCGATACGCGTCGCTGCTTCTTCTGTCTGGGATCACCGGCGAGCGTGACGATTTTGGTGAATGTTCTGCCCTACCGCTGCGTCTGACGCGTTGTGCCGTCAGCTATCGGGGAAACACGACGTTGCCAGATAGACTACCGGTAGGGCAGAGAAAGAATGTCTATGGACTAATTGTGTAGGCCTGTTTGACTGACTTGATAAGTTTAATTTCTCTGTTATACATGTTCGCAACTAACTTTTTCCTCAGAAAGTCTAGCTTATGCTGACCACAAACTGATGAAGGCGTTGCGTGGGAAGTTCAGGGACAACTTACTTGACTCCATTTTTTCAATACACTAGAACTACAAGTTACAGCTTCTAAAATAGTGTAGATACATTGACAGAAATTAAAACATTTTTTAAAGACTCCAAGGCGCATGGGAAAAGTGTTGAAACAACCTATACCACCCGTTCAAGTTTCCACGATCCAGTGGCCTCTAGCTGTACAGATATCTGCGTTAAAGTTATTTCTGAGAAGGATATCGCTAGTGGTATGTTGCAGCAAATAGTAGCTTACAAAAGCTAAACACAAGTGCGATTTGGCTGGCATAGACTGAGAATTTAACCAATCGTAAAGTATAAATCTTCGTATGTTTTTTACAGAACCAAGCAGGCTTGAATGCTATCTATCTAACAAGAATAAAATCTCATTTAATTTATCTAGAGAAATGACGCTGATTTGATACTCTAGCGCTCTTAAATTTACTATTTTATATTTCCATATTGGATATTGAGATAACTTTTTGCATATTCTGGTATTTGAATTCAAGTTGAGTAGACTGAATAGATGTCCATTTGTTCATACTTGATCTTAAGCGGCTGGATTGTATATTTTTGTAGAATGTATTCAATTATTTATCGGCAAACGAGTCATTTATTAAATTAGTTAATAATAGTTAATTGTCGCAAGTTTTATCAAAGACCATCAACGTGGGTATCAAGAAGTCTACTTCCAGGGGGTCGTCTTAATCTAGTAGAATGTGTACTTGTGTTTTGAGTTAGCTAGATTTTTGGGAAGTGAAAGAAGTCCATTAGGAAGGAACTTCGATAAAGGAAATCTAAAAAACTCAAATTAAGATCACAAGTATTCAACCTTTAAGAATAAATTCTCGAAGGAGTGACATGGCTAAGACGGAAATGCTCTATTTTTTGGCATTTATTTCATGGTTATGTGGAATGAGGTCTAAAGATTGTCTTGAAGGTTAGGATTTCAAGTATTACAGCTCAAGTCATGTTACCCCAATTCTTGAGCATCAGCACGCAATGTTTACGATCAAATGTCTTGGTCCCATCTGCACTGAAATATTCCAGAATGTATCTTGTTCTATTTATTAATACTGGACGGAGACCGATTTCACGCCAATGGGAACTAACGTAGACTGATTCAGGGGTTATTCAAAAACTATGTTTTTTGATGACACCAACACTTCTCTCAATGAAGTCAAAAATAACAGCAATAGTAAAAACCAAACTATTGGTATTCCAATGAAGTCGATACTCTTGCTGGGGCAACAACTGAAGAGGGACACTAATTAACCACCTGCAATTTCCGTGCTTTTTCACCGTGCATCCACTCAACCAAATGCATCGGGGTTGCCTGGTATACCAGGCAAATCTAATTATTTTTCCGGCGGGGTGCAGTTTTCGCGCTTCATCTGTGTGGCTTGTTGCTATGGAGAGGATGCTCTCATTTCAACATTGATCGAACCGCAATACAATACGGCAACAAATATTGTTGGATTCTATGAGCACGGAGAGGATATGGACAAGACAAGCAAAAAATATTATTAAACCAAAGGACAAACAGAAATGATTGTACACATGCTTATAATAGCCCGACATAAATTATGTATCATGAAATGTGTAACATACTTTATGGATGCAAATTCAGTTGTATATACAGTGTGTCCCAGATTTGCTTCTCTACACAGGGATCTCGGCTCCTATCATACCTACAGCAAAGGTTAAATCGGGAGAGTTTCAGAGGAAACTTAGTGAATTCGACAGACGGCTTCAGATTCACGATCGTTCAATTGGTTTTGGAAATATCGGCGAAAAACCAAAAATGTCGAATTTTGTTTTTTGCCAGTAAATCCGAAAGGCTTAATTTGACAGCTGTCAAAATGAGACTTTTTCGGGCATTTTTTTAAGGCAAATAAGATGGCGAGTATGACATGTCTCAATCGTATTTTGTTTTATCGGATCCTGCCTCAACTTTCATTTTTCTTATGGCCGCCATATTGGATTTTTCGATTTTTGAAAAGAGCGTAAAATGTCCAGCCTAGTGATGTCTCACAAGTGCATAACAGATTGGAGTATAAATAAATATCATCACACGTAATGTTATATATAAATCTTTTTCTAAGGAGGCCACGGTTTATTTGTCAGAAAATAAAATCAATAAGTAACGTATTTTTTAAATAATGCAAGGTTTTAAAATTGTGTTTTAATAAGTAGTAGGTACGTTTTCTCTCATTAAAATCATCAATCTGACAAACGAAATTGTCAAAACCTGTTGAAACATCAGTCGACATTCCCTACTCAAATGAAGAAATGAAATTTGATATGTTAACGCTGTACTGGCAATCACACAGAAACGCCGAGATTACCTCAGCAAGGTACTTGGGAGATATACCCCAAGCGACGGCAGCCTCATTAAACCAAATTTAGAAAAATAGTAGTTAATTTAATACACCGTGGGGCCTTCGAACAACCTAGAAGCGGATACAATATTGAAAATGAAAATCGCGACAGAAACTCTTTACAAGCTGTCACCGAAATCCCTAGTGTATCAGTAAGAACTATAGAACTAGAAATTGGCGTGTCAAAATCAACACTACAGAGAGCGTTAAATACAAACCTACAATAGTTCAATGACTTAAGGAAACTGATTTTCCAAGGTGAATGCGTTTCTGTGAGTAGTATACTTGGAAGTCTAATGAAAGTTCCGATTTTGTAAATCATGTCTTGTGGTCCGATGAGAGTAGGTTTACGACTTGTGGAGTTTTAGAAGCACAACACTCATCATTGGGCTGTGGAAAACTCACGAAGTGGCAGAGAGACACCTACAGACCAGATTTAGAACTAACGTTTTCAATTGGGCACCGATTTGAAATTAGGTATTAATCATTTCAGGAAATCGACTGATACGACCATTTTTGTTTGCATACAACCTAAACGGACAGAGGTATCTAGAGCTTTTGCGAAACCAGGTTGTGCCGGCTTTACGAGCTAGTCTAACCGAAATCTAGAAATCCCGAGACAAAGAATTTTTAACACAGTTAAAAACATTAATAGAAATACACTAGCCAGCTAAGGTTGTACGAAAAACAATTGTCAAAAATGTCTGGATGCAAATGGACGTTATTTTGCAAATCTGTAAATTAATACCCATTTACATAATTAGATTTTACATTATATTACAATTTTGTAAAATGTTTGTTTGTTCAAGTGTAAAATAAATTTACGACGATTTTTCCGACTTGTTTTTTTTTAACACACTCATAGTTGGGAATTTATACCAAAACATGTGACTTGTTGAAAAGTCGATATTAACGTTAATATTCTATTGAAAATTTGTTTTTTGTGCCTTACTCATTAATGTTATTTTCTGACAAATAAATCATAGCCTCCTTAGGAAAAGTCTAATACATAAATAACATTACTAATGATGATATTTCTGTGATAGTCCAATCTTTTATGTACTTGAGAGACATCAGTAGACTGGAAATTTTACACTCTTTTCAAAGATCCAAAAATCCAATATGGCGGTCATAAGAAAAATGAAAGTTGAGGCGCGTTGCTGGAAAACAAAAGACAGTTGAGACATGTCATACATGCTATCTTTTTTTTTTTAAATGTCCGAATAATGTCACATTTCGGTTTTTCGCTGATATTTTTAAAACCAATTGCTCGATCGTAAATTTGAAGTCGGCTATCGAAAGCACTAAGTTTCCTTTGAAACGTCCCCTATTTAACATTTGCTGTAGGTATAACAGGAGCCGAGATCCCTAGAGAAGCGACAAACTGTATAAGCAATTCTATCATATAGATCTCCAGACACCTCAATCGAAAGACATCCATTTCCGGTGTGGATGCTGCGAGGAAAGTTCACCATATATGAATGCAAATTTGTTATTGCTCACCTTTTTACAATTTAGGCATTCAAGTCTGACTTCAATCATGGAAATTGTTGCCTGCGTAACACAGCAAAAAAACGCAGAACCAACAGTTAGACGTAGAAGGGTACCATTCATTTTATATGGAAGGTATTCCTGTCAAATTAGTTCCGTTAATATATGACTGCAATATCATGGTGTGCGAAATACCAGACCATTTAGTGTCAGTCCACTTTTTGTCCCTTTTTTTCAACCTCACTCTTCCTCCCACAGGGCATTGTCCAAGTTATACAAAATATTGAAGTTGCGCACTCATTTTACATTATTAGGCCTTTTTATCCGCCGCGTCTGGACCGAAATAAAACCATATTTACTGGGTGTTGTTGCATTTCCTTTGTTAATGAGTATAGCTTTGGGCATTTGACTACTAAAAAACAAGAAGGTACGCTGAAACCGGCTGAAAGAAGATACATTTTTCTCTAAGAGTAAGAGATGAAATGCTTAAACAGTTCACTGGAGAGATACAAAATAAAAATAGTACGATTTTCGTAATTGGTATATTCCAGTAGTCATTCTTTGAACGGCAATGTAAATATGTGGTTTGGAGTGGACCTGAACATTCAATTACATACTACCTAAACACTGTAACAACAACTGAGCTTATCAACTGTGCCATTACCACACGAGCTAGTATTAAAATTATAAAAGGCGATATTCCAGGCAGGTAATATAGTAGAAAAACGCCATGCTATTACAGCAATTACTGCTATCGTCATGGATTCCAATTAAATCGTGTAAGTGCACTTTAAAACCATTATAATTACAACTAATCAATAATAAATAACATCGTAATCGTCGTCGTAGACATCTTACCATGCCATTTTAAGGATATTATTTATCTTTTTGTTAAAAAATTAAGTTTCGGAGGTCTCGATGGTATTCCTTCAAAAGCTAGATATTGTAGAACATGCAAAAGATTGTAACGTGCCAAAATCACGTAACCTTTTTTTTCTATTTATCACTTATCAATAATTGGAATTTCTCTTCATTGATAATACAATGCTCATTCCTAGGCCAAACCCTTTTCAATGATTTTATTTTGGCAAATTTAATAGTTTATTGATTGTATAATTTCACTCGTATTATATCTTTCTTTCTCAGCGATTCAGTATGGTGTTGACGAACAGAAAAAAATACTCTGTAGTTTTTCTCCGTTAGTTGGTTTCCTATAAAACATATATCTTCTTCAAGGCCACTCAAGATACCTTCTGTACATTACTGTACATTACGTGTTCTGCATGATTCGCTTTTCTGTTTCCGTTGAGGTCGTGGTGCAGGGGTCGTTTCGTCATTTTCTGGACTCTGGGATATTAGCCCCAAGCGCCAATTCATGGACTAGCACCCCTTTTTTGTGTAACTTAATTTTAGTCATTTTGGTTTCCATTTTTTTATGGGATTTTGACCCTCAGCGGTAAGTTCTTTTTTTTTATACCTACGGACCATGTGCCTTAATGCGTGTCCTGATGACGTTCGTTCAATATCTGCTTTCTTTTAGTCAATAGAAACAGAAGAGAATCATCATCCTTTCTCCTCCAGTTGGTTGCATCTTGTTGCAGTTTTGCAAATTGGTGGAAGCCATCCCCTTGAAAAAAAACCCTGATTGTGAACAGGTAAAATATCATTCTAATTAACAATTTCATAGATCTTTATACATTTATTATTGCTTATTGAAATTCTTAGAGACTTCTTGATTTTATTGAACATTCTACGTATTCAAATATGGGGGCAGTGCCTACATGGCACCTTCTATTACATTGATCAAGATTTTGATTTTTGACCTGCCATAACTTTTTATAACAAGGGTATCCCCTTGAAAAAAAACCCTGAGTGTAAACTGGTAAAATATCATTCTAACTAACAATTTCATTGATCTTTATACATTTATTATTGCTTATTGAAATTCTTAGAGACTTCTTGATTTTATTGAACATTCTACGTATTCAAATATGGGGGCAGTGCCTACATGGCACCTTCTATTACATTGATCAAGATTTTGATTTTTGACCTGCCATAACTTTTTATAACAAGGGTATCCCCTTGAAAAAAAACCCTGAGTGTAAACTGGTAAAATATCATTCTAACTAACAATTTCATTGATCTTTATACATTTATTATTGCTTATTGAAATTCTTAGAGACTTCTTGATTTTATTGGACATTCTACGTATTCAAATATGGGGGCAGTGCCTACATGGCACCTTCTATTACATTGATCAAGATTTTGATTTTTGAGCTGCCATAACTTTTTATAACAAGGGTATATTAGTTTAGTACATTTTTATCTTTTTTTGCCTTTGCTTTACTTTTCTTGTACAAAAAATGTACATTGTTTTCCTTTAAGTGCGATTGTTTTCAATGAGTAGTTTTATCTCAGACAGAGAGTAGAGTAGATTTTTAAACAGTCTTTCTCTCTTTAGGGTTTTTTTCTTTACTACCATAATTTTAGGCAACGAGGCAAGCAGCCCCTGCCCAGTGACGTGCCCACTACTGGCCACTTTTTGACCAGAGTTGAGGACATCTCGGCCGCGCCAGACAAAGAAGACCTACAGATAAGTTTAATATTTTTTTATTATCTCGAAAAATAATTTTGTCAGGTTGTATTTAAGATTTATAACATCCTTTCTTTTTTTTTGTATTACTTGCACTCCAGTAGTGGATCACATGTGCGTTTTTTTATTAATCAATATATTGTGATTCATTTAATATCTTATTTTGTTTGGCTCTCTCTGTGTGTACTGTTACTTAAATTTCGTCATCTCTGTTAGATTCTCCTTTTGTGTGGTGTGGTCAAGAAAACAAGTTTCGACTAACATCTCGGGGAGTTGTGGCTTAATTCGTCCTAAGTCACTGGCGCTCTTAACCCCCTTCTATTCTCCGCTTTATTGTGCTAAGGCCTAAATTTGTATGCCACTAGACAACTGTTTTGCTTGGACCAACCGTTAGTATTTATCATTGTGTTTTATTAATTAATCAAAAAAAAGGCGTGGCGAGATCCTCACAATAAATTCGAATTTTTTTTAGAGATCACAATAACTCCCTCCTTTTTTGTGTAGGAAGTAGAATAAATAAAAATTCACTCTATTATATCAAAATCCAGGTTTATACATATACGAGCACTGTCTCAGTGAATTTGGCCAAACTATCAATACTACGTTTTTTATGAAATTTGTCATATTAGCGGAAACGTATCAAAAGCTAAAATGTATTTCTGATAACATACGATATTTTTGTTACTAGTACTAGTCTAAAGTACTAAATTTTTTTACAACAAAAAAAATATCTTACAGATTCAAAAAAACTGCCGATTAATAAAAATCAACAAATCCAAATAGCAGCAAATCACCACTGCGTTACATCGCCTTTTCGACGACTGATTACTGCTTCGATATGTCTTGACATAGCGTCAACTTATGTTTGGTAATCATCTGGTGTAAAGTTGTTTCAAATTTCTGGGAGACGGGTTCACAATTCTGGAAGGGTTCTTGCGGGATTCGATCGGACCGTTTTCTTCATGATATGCCACAAGGTTTCGATGGGCGATAGATCTGGACTAGCCGACGTCCATTTTAAGACTGGAATATTGTTTTTTTAACATCTAATCTTTTACTTTATTAGTCGTATGGCAAGCGGCATCATCTTGTTGGAAGATACATTCAATATTGTTTAAGCGCATTTATTCAATTTGGGGTATTAAGTTATTTTGAAGCACATTTACTTATCAGCATTCACAGTACCTTCCACATAGTGTAAGTTTCCCTTGCTGACATGGATCCCCAAATCATAACAGTCATTCTGAAACACTTCCTCTTTAGTTCTTATGACACGACTTCTACTATTACCAACACGTACTTCAAATCTGGCTTCATCACTCCAAATAATGGAGTTCCATAGGTTCGGGGGCCATAATTTGTGTTCTATGGCCCACACTAGTCTGTTTTTCTTCTGAATCTTTGTCAGCAAGGGCTTCTCTTTTTCCTAGAAATATTGAATTAAAAACGGATAATAAAAAAATAATGAAGGCCACCTTGAAAGATTTAAGTCCCAGTTTTTGAACAGCTTTTGTGACAAGTTGCTCTATAAAACTTTTTTGTGATTGCCTAATTCCATAATATTTTCTATTCGTTATAATTAACACGACGATTTTCATTGATAATCCTTTTTAAGGCTCTTAAGTTGGTATTGGGGGCGCGGGCGACTTTCAGTTCTGGGTTTTTGGAACACAGATCTCGTTGTTTTGTACAATTTAATAATATTTCGAACTGGATACGTCGATTTGTTAACAGTGTCAGCGATTTGGGAAGCATTTTGGCCTTTTAAATGCAAGTGATTGATCATTTTCTTATTTCGTCGGAAAAAATGCATTGAAAGTTGATTGAAACGTCAAAAAACAGCTTCTTAGCAACGTAAAATGTTATCAGCTATTTTACAAAGTCTACCTTTATTTTATAGAAGCCAATAAACAGACCATCTAACTTAAGTTGTCTCCATCATGTATTTTGCTATACCTACACAAATCATTTTGCAAAGAAGACAATTTCGAAATAAAAACGCTTTAAAAATAGCCGCGTCGGTTTTGTTATCTTTCCATAAACATTTAAAGAATCGAAAAATATTATACTTGAAATAAAATTTGGATTAGCCCTCAAAATTCACAGATATCATGTTTTGGAGCATTGGGCAAACTTCACTGAAACAGGGCTCGTATACATACCTTTATAAGCAAGTGCCAAAGAATAACTTACCGTACTGTTTCATGATGATAGATAGACTCCAAAGACTCTTACCTGTAAAATAAAGAAAAATAATTTACTATCAAAGCCAAAAAAAAGAACGATATTTTCTTCATTTGGACCTATAAAATAAAGCCTGTGTGTGACAAGGATGCTGTCCTTTTTACAATCAATAACCATTTCATAGATAAAGACAAAGGTCTCTCTTTTCTGCTGCTCTATTGACCCTGGACCTTGTGTAATGGTTGCTGGAGCGCTAGTATCTCTCTTCTATGCGGAGGAAAATACAAATAGTAACCTGGCGAAATAAAGGGAAAATACCACTTATAATAACTGTTTCCAGTAATATAGGCATATCCTACATATCTTCACTTTTAACAAGTATGCAAATGCTGAGCTAGTCACGGTAAGGAAAGTAGTTAGAATGACACTTTTATTTTGGCATTCAACAAGGACAAGGAAAAGAACACATGATAGCCGTTAACGAAAAAATAAGACCAAATGTCTAACGCAATCCTAACACAGAGTGGTACTGCTTCCGGAATATTCCTGTCAAACAACTGGAGTGGCAAAAATATTTGCGGTCTCATCTCAGTTGCTGCGCAAGGAAAATGGCCCAGGAAGGTAAGTCTGGACTAGACAAATGGTTCTGATAAGAATGAACATTAAGCTTTTAGTTGCTTCCTCGTGTTAAAAAAAGTATAATATTTTCAGTCAATTGTAAATTTAGCAGAAATAGCTATTTCCGCAGAAGAATTTGCTTTATGACTGAATGCAAATACGATAACGTAATTCACTGTTATTAAACAATTTTAATCAATCGCTGGGTTATTATTTAAGAACCATTCGTGATAGGACCCATTCTCTAACCGTTAACTCAAACCACATGTTTTAATTATTCTATACAGTACGACGTTTCGGCCACCTTGCTTTCATGAGAAATAATGACCGTGTATTTTGTATATCTGTCATCCAGGTAAATTTATTTTTTTTTTCTTCATTCAAAAAATGGCAGATGAGAAAGAAGAAATTTTCTTTAAAATACATTCTTCTCCGTTAATGGCCACCCTTTTCCAACATCTGTCTTGATATCCAATAGCTTTACGAAAGTGGCGAAACAGTGATAAAAGCGAGATGTCAAAATGAGAACACCAATTTACTGAAGCGTTCGACATTTTCGTGCGACAAATCTCGAATGCAAGACTCGATTGCACAATGGTGCTCTACCAGAATCCAGATCCCGCGAAGCCATCTTTAAAATTTTGAGATGATACCGCGAAAAGTCCATGATCGCCTGCGGTATGCGGTACAAATGTATGCCGATTATAGCCATAACCAGAACAGCTATGATATAAATCAACAGTGACCTGGGATCTATAAACCATCAATCAAACATACATAATTTCAAGCCAGATTCAAATAAATGTAAAGCACTTCTTCTGTGCTCAGAAAATCTCAAAAACAAGATTAAAGAGGATTTCAGTATCGTTTTTAATAGTGTTAAACTGAATCTCTGTAAGGAATCCAACATTATATGTGTACAAATTACGAGCAGCTTCGTTTGAGACAACACGTTAATACTTTAGTCCAAAAAATATACATACGAATTCGTGCACTATACAATAAGTTGATTTTAAGTTACATATCGAAACTGGGGTTAAGTGGAACCTTGGTTCTTTCTATCGTTAAATATAGATTCTTAGTTTATTTTCCTTGTTTAGATCACATTTGTGTACACAGAATCCAGATGATACAAAACAAATGATGTCGCTTTATTTATGGACTTATGACTTGAATTGGCCAGAAACTCCAGTAGCATTCCAACATGAATAGAATACAATAGAAACGTAAGAGATCAACTACCAGCATGAAAATTTATTTTATCAGTAGGACAGACACATGCAAATCATTGGCGCATTATAACAGGTTAATAAGTAGGATAAGTACGTTTGTAATGTAAAGATAGGTTTGTTTATTTCATTTGTCTATTAAAAATATTTGATGTTAAAATCTTCTAGTGAACTACATCTACTTAAAGTTACGTGTAAGAATAGCTTTGAGATAAATCTCGCCTTTTGTAGATAATGGTAACAAAGACGATTATTTTTTATCAATATTATATAATCCCATTGTTAAAAACTGTTAAATGACGTTCCGATTACCGTGTGCATATATCGTCGCCAATAACACGAAGTGGCGAAAATTCAAAAATTGAGTCGTTTTTATTACTTAAAACAGGTTGCTCGTCAGTATCACGAAGTGGCATAAGTCAGTTTCTAATGCCTTCAGAGTTATAGAAAAATAATATTAGACTTATCTCATTTCAATAGGAAATTAAATTTCACGAGGGAGCTCAACGCCAAGTTAGTGAGATTATAAAATATACTTATTTTACAGCGCATGGCTTATCTAAGGTACGCCAGTTCGTAAAATTGTAGTTTTAATTTTATCACTGTACGCACTGTGACGTGTCTGTCTTTTTGACTTTACCTTCAGCACGAATACACCTTATTTAGATTAAACAGAAAAAACTTAATTTAAAAGATATTCCATCGAAGTTATGAGAGTGCAGAGCCTTAAAAAATTACTACAAAAAATATATGGATTTGAAGTCGCTGTGTGAAGGAGATATACCGGTAGTTCGTTTTTCAGGATCACCAATAAAACTTATTTTTAAATATCATGTGTTTTGATTTTTCATCACTTAATATAACACGGACGTAACTAAGTCTTTATTCTATGGATTACGACCCTTCAATTTCACAAAGTGACGTATCAGCCTTTTTTGGAAATTTTGAAGACAAAATGAAAAATGGGTTGATCGTCGCTCATTTTTGAAAAGCTTGTGAAGATGAGCAGATATACACACAAATCCAATTATGTAGTAACTCAAATCTCGTGAAGATATTTAAAACGCTCTCATGTAGAATTGGAAAAAATGAGATACGCCACTTCGTGTTATGGACCCCGATATGAGAGCTTGGACTGGCCATCGAAAGAAGGATCTTCGATTTTATAGAATAATTCATGCAATATCCTGAAATATGAATCTAATAATTCTATAAAATATTGATGTTGCAATAATCCACATCTTATAGACATGAATAAGCATATGTCCACCAACAGCATTTCAATAAATCGCGTATTTCTAGAGGTTGTCATTTCAAATGGCCCATAAAACGCCTTTTTGTAGCTCGACTGGCGTTAAAAATGATAACAAACCTAATAAAACAAACATTTATAGCTTCATATATAGTTGATGAACATATATTTATTTCTTGTACGTATCAACAAAAAGGAAATGTGCAGGAATAAATGTACCGAGATCAGTTTTTTATACAGTGCAGGCTTTCATCGGAATGTATTCTTACTGAGTAATTGTCTAGCTAACGATCAATTATAGGTTTATCGGCGGTGTATGTATTAATGCTATTCCATATGATTGCAATTTGGATGAGACTTATCCGTTTCCACGAAACGTTTAATCCATTTTATAGGTAGGTTTTGTTGTTAACTAGCATTGTGAAAACCTTAGCTTGTTCTTACGAGAAACATTGTCAACGAATATGAACAGATTTGAGGATTAGTTTTTCAATCGCAGGTGAACTATAATTTTATTGCTAACCAGAATTCATTCATGAAACACCTGATAATTATTCTGTGGTTTTCATGTCGATATTACCCCATGTCTGACTGGCCAATGAAACCATATGTATTTGAAATTCTTCTTTAATGTAGTATACGTTACGGTAACAAGGGTGACCTTCTTCAGTACACTGTGTTACTACAATATTCTGAAAGGTTGCGCAAAGCCATCAATCCAAATTTTAAGATGGCACCACGCAAAACCAGCATAGGCCAGGTCATCCTGGGGTAGGCATTCTCATTCCCAAAAGGTCGTCTAGCCCCCTAAAACGACAAGCGAGCATGAGATTATCTGTAGATTTTTTAATGTACCAGATATTATACGTTACCCTCGTCCATCGTTCCGAAAACGCCAAAAGCCATTGGCTAGACAAACATGAGGGATTATCGACATAATTCATTCGTCAAAAGGCGTTCCAGATTACCATCTTTGAGTTCAGTAAAATGTCGTAGTCAACCGGCAGTGAGATTAGAGAAATGGATTCTACTGCTAACTCGCTCTATCCATCTAAATACAGCTCAAGATAAAACAACTCATAATCCAGATTAACTTGGCAAACTATTGGTAGGTGCAAATCGTCAGGTTTTTCGCCGACCTCCGAAAAGTATGTTGAGTTCTTCAAACGGCCATATCCTCTTCTTTGCTTTCCGTTCATCTATCTCCAAGACAATTAGACCTATATCGCGCTTATGAGTTGTTAATGAGCTGTCTGTCGTGGTTATAGACACGGAAAGCAAACTTGTCCATTCCAATCGTGCATATGTATGCATATATGCGCAGAAATCCATCTTTGGTCTGCTCTCAGAATAAATAATTTGTATTCCGGCTGCTAGATACCCGTTTTGGTGGTGGGACATCTATATGTGCATTGCGTAGAGCTTCGAGCATTATGAGCCGGTAACGTAGGGTCTTTTGTCATCTTTCATCGTACGGGATGATGGAGATGATCATGATGAAGATTAACTTGGCAAACCATTGGTAGGTGCAGATCGTCAGATATTTCGCCTACCTCGCACATTATTTTGAATTCTTCAAACGACCATATCCCCTTCTTTGCTTTCTGTTCACCTACATCTCCAAGACAATTAGACCTATATCGCGCTTATGAGTTGTTAATGAGTACGAAACAACGCTGACTGCGGCTGGTCGAGGTTATTGTTGCCGACGATATCATCACCGCTGCAGACAGGGGAGATGCTGTCCTGTTACTGCTTGATTTTTCTAAAGCGTTTGATAGAATTAATGATATTTTGTTAGCTAAACTAAAATATTTATGACTATGTACTTCAACTTTGAATTTTTTGAGTGATATTAGTATAGTATTAGTAAATCACAGAGACGATTCCTCTAGTCTAAGAGATATTATATCTATAGCAAGGGTCTGTTTTAGGTCGTTTGGTTTGCAGCATTCATACATCCGAAATAATCAATTTAGCTAATAATTGTATCAATCAACAAAATCTACAACACTACACTACTACAACCTAATCAACAATAATATAAATGCTGCACCTAAACGCTCATACCGTTGAGTACAGTGTCATCTATGAGACACCAACCTTTTCAAAGTATATGTAGTAAATAGAGAAATTCTCATAGATGACGCTACAGTATCTCAATCTATCTCGGATATATTAAACGTTAATAAATGGTAAAATATTAAA